TCACTTTGATCAAAGGTCGAATGACGAAACGGCGTCTCCCGAAAGTTGGCCCAGGAGGGCTGTCATGACAGCAATTTAATTGCTGTCATGATCGCATCTTTTTATTCTACTTTCGTCTAACTTGCTTCCATAGGCTATAAGTAGAACCTATAAATTTTTTTAAGGTTTTAAATGATTTATTTTCTAAGTTGGTTTTAGGATTAATTTCTTAACCACACTTAGTTTATTTGAATTGTGTGATTTTTGGATAACATTTGGGGCAAGTGTTACATCATCTTTAGTGGTAGAATCACCTAACTAAAGGTGTTCTATCTCACTTTCAAACTATGATTTCCCCCATCACACACACAATGGGGTGTTGTTGACTCCAACATCACATCACATCAATGCTAAGAAGTCTAAATCTCCAACACCATACTTCAATAGGTATTAAAAAGATATAATTCTCTAACACCATACCTCGATGGGCACTAAGGAGAATAATGCCATATGGTCTTTCTCTACTTCTCGTTATGGGTGAACTCCCACCCCTATGATTATGCTTTCACATACACCACATTCTACACATATATAAAACCATATATATATATATATATATCACAAAGCATGCAATTTATAAACTCAGTTCATTGGAAATTAATTTCAAGCATTAAACATTCTTTTATCAAACATGCTTATTCTAAAACCTTTTTTATGCAATAATAATCATACTCCCAATACAATTATAATAGGTAATCAAACAAAAGAAGTTATTTGGTTACCTCAACTTTTCTGTCACAAGAAAAGTTACCCGTGGAATCAATTACCACTAACGACTCATTACAAACTTCTTCTTTCACTTTACATCTGTAATGTGTCAATCTACACACAATTAACATAATTTCTCAATTAATCAAATGGACCAAAAATATTTAATTATTGTTTAAAGCTACATAAGTCATTCATTTCTTTCTACTTAGTCATTCTAGAGTCATTACCACTCAATTACCACTTTCTATCACTTTTAAAAATGCCATTTTACTTTTACTCCATTTTCACCTCATTTTTCCTTTAATTTTGGGCCAATTGGAGCCTTAGCTTCAAAGCTCTATCATTCAACTCCAAATTAATCACAAAGCTTTAATTTAACTCTTGAAAACCTTTTTATTATTATAAGGTAAGAAACTAACGTTTAAAATTTTTTTGATTCAATTTCTCTATAACTCATATTAAGAGAAACTATAGTAAAATCTAAGGTAAGGGCTGTAGGATACTTATCTGATAAGCTATCGATTGGAAATGCCTTCTAATACCTTAAGAATTGATGCCTTAATAGACGAATGCTTCCTTTACCTCTCCTTCGTTCTTTCCTTCTTTTTCCCTCTAAACTCATGAGCTGATTCACAACTTATGAGTTGATTTTCTATGCCATGCTTCACGGTGCAAGCAACTTACCATGACGCATGGCACAGTGAGGAAAATCCTCACCAAGCACACACGCTTCATTTCAAAATGCGATTCTTGCACCCATATTTGCTCATTCAACATTCCAATGGGTCAAAATATCAAGCTTTCATCTAAAATTCTAATCATTTACTAATTACTAATTCACTCTTGATTAATAACAAACTATAGGATTAGAAAACCAGGATGTTACACTAGCTTTCCAAGTCTAGTAAACTAGAAGAGAAAGGAAGATTAGGGATTAAGGAACTTACCTCAAGTGATTGGAAGCTCCAAAATGCTCCTAAGTATTTAGGAAATCAAGCCCTAGCAGAGCTTGAGGTGTTCTCCATCACCCTCTGTCTATATTTCTCTTTTCTGTCTCTATTTTTGCATCTGATTCATGACTAATTACTATCAGATTTTGTCCATGCGCCACATGGAGCCATTTTCCTTCGTTTTCCCCTATTTTTAGGTTCGGGTAGCCCGACCTCACTTCAGACCTACATCTAGGGTTGCAAGCATAGTCTAAAAAACTCATTGGTCCTTTCTGTCCACACCACACTAATCTCAATTAATCATCCTTAATTAATTCAATTAACAGGAAATTAAATTTTTAAGATGTTACACAATCATCACGCAAAAGTTCACATATAATAATAGTGGAAGTGTGGAACAAGTTAGACAAAATACATTTACAAATTTGCTTGAATAGAATCTAGGCCTACCCATGTATTCACCATTATGATACCCTTAGTGAGATGCAATACAAGTTATACAAGCAAGTTACTAAAACAATACAAACACATGTATGCATCCTAGTTGGCAACTATAACACATAATACAAATATACATTTATTACACCTCAAGGTAGTTATTCTACTACTAGAAATGAAGCTACACCTTCTGTGCTGCATTTCCTGACATCTGAGAACTCTCTACACTTGTAACAAAAGTAACGGAGTGAGACATATATCTTAATAACTCAGATAAATCCCAAATATCGATTAGTAAGTAAAACCAAATATAAGAGATAGAGTAATGCTATTTTTCAATAAAATCAATATATAAATGCAATGCAATACTCAATCAACCACTTTGAATATGCACTCCTAGGTCCTATTAGCGAAGAATACTCAACGCTTAAACTAGGACTTCCTAGCCTTACATGAAACAAGACCCACCAACTACTGCCTCAGACTAAGGTATCACATATGGGTGGTTATATGACTCTTGTATCCCTACTAACAAATCAAAATCAACACTCGACCACTAAGACTTTCTAGTCTTACATAGAATAGGGCCACGACCCTCTACCTTAGTTTAAAGTACATTTGTGGATGTATTTTTAAGTCTTATTAGCAAATAAAATCAACATTTTGGACCACCAGAACTTCCTAACTTTACACAAAATAAGGCCATGACCCCTTACCTCAATTTAGGGTACACTCATTGATGTAAATGCACATGTAACACCACAAACATTCTAAACATCTCCACTCACACACACATGTACCACTTTTTATAAAATGCTACTATATCATTTCATAAAACATGGCACACATATATTTTTATATAAAAGACTTGTAAATCATTTTATAGACTAATAAATAAAAGGGTTAATTCAATTATCTCACACCCTTATTACCAAGAGTTAACATTTGTACTATTTTACTTAAAGAGTGTAGATTGTATAAGCAATCCCTTGAATGCTCAATCTACATAACTAAATATCCTTAATTAGCTTTTAGGCTCAACGTAAAACGCCACCTGGCTAAGTTACACAACTTAGCATTTATATATATATTATTAGCATTCCTTGGGTTCACTTAACCCACACACCACACTCACACCTCCTTAGGCCAACAAAATGACCAAAACACCCTCCTTACCTACTTAACTAGCATTTTCCCACTCTTTAACTTAACCATTTAGGTTGATTTGAGCCTATATTTCTAAGGCTCAACCACTAAACCCCAAAATAGTCACAAACTTTTGTTTCGCGCCTAAGAGCCATTTTCCAACCTTTTCCTAAAATTTTAACCTCTTAAAACTCCCTAATTCAGTTTCTCTATAACACAAACCAAGAGAGATTAGGGCAAAAATGAAGTACAAGGCGGTATGAAACTTACCTGACAAGTCACTGGTTAGAGCCAACTCCCAAACTTCTAGAAATTGAAGCCTTAGCAGAGAAGTCTTCCTCTTCCTCTCTTCCATGCATTTTCCCTTCCTTTGACTTTAAGCCACGAGTTGATTCACGCTTGACTTATCCAAATTATGTGCCATGCGCCGTGAAGCATGCAGCACATGTTGCGATGCATGGTGCAGTGAGGCGCTTCAAACTATTGCTCATGCTTTTCATTCTGATCAACTTTCCACCACTCAATCCTATCAATCCACTTACCAATCAACACAAAACACCAATTTACCATCCCAAAACCATAACTAATCCGTTAATTACTAATGTACCTTTAATTATCAATTATTTTCTCGGATTAAAGTTTAGGATGTTATACATGAACTTGGTCCTATTGTGTTGTTAACCCATAGATTCAATCGGAGAAAATAAATAGGGTATATGGTGGAGAGTGTTAGTTTAGTTTAGTTTTTTCCTTCCTTTTATTATCCTCTATGTTAGTTTAGTTTTTTCTTTCCTTTATTTTTCTCTCCATCACTGTTAAAAATGTGTTTATGAGGTGCATTTCTTATTTGGACTATTCAAATGTAGACAATATTTCTAAAATGTGGAGTAAAACTTTTTTTCGTTTTAGACAAAACAAGATATAATATCAATATTATAATTATTATATTTCAAAAATAATAATATTTCAACTTTAAAATATAGAATTAAAATAATAAGATCTTAATCGCCCATGTGATCAAAATAATGTAGATGAGACATGCAACATCCAATCTGGACAAGGCAAAAATGAGGCAAAGGAGAAATGGAGAAAACCAAGCAGACTTTTCCATTTAAGCACCCAGAATTTTGGAAACTCAGTTGAATGGCCTCAATATCATTTCAATCTAAAGCTAAACCCAAACCTGATCTATATATCATCTTGCTCAAAATTAGAGTAATAACTTTTTTTTGGAAAAAATATAAATAATAATTTAATCCCTCAAAATATCATAATTTTAATGAAGTCTCTAGAAATCTCTTTAATCACAACTTTTATTTAAAAAATTATAACTTTTATTCTATAAATTATAAAAGTTGAACAAAATATTACAACTTATTGAGTGTAATTTCTGTTATTAAAAAATAAACCTCAATTATAACTTTTGCTTAAAAAATATCAATCTTTATTCTGTAAATCCTAAGAATTGAACAAGAAATCACAATTTTTTAAATGTAATTTTTATTATTGAAAAAAAAAATTTCTTAAAATAACAAACACCATTCATAACTTTTGTTTAGAGAATCACAATTTTTCTTTAAAAAATCACAAGAATTAAACAAAAAAATCACAAATTATCACTAAGGATAAAATAATATTTTCAATTTAAAATTTATTGACAAACAGGTCCCTAGGGACTTAATTGAAATTATGACATTTTGATAGACCAAATTATCATTTATATTCAAAAGAATTTTATTATTAATTTCCCCTTTTTTTGGGCAACGTAGAACTGAAACATGAGTTCACAAAATTTATAAAAAATAAAAATTAATACAAAGGTGAGCCAAGCCCCAAAGGGAAAGGAAACTAATCAGTAGGGGAACTAAGTCCCATTAAATCTTTTTGTACCAGGACTCCCAAGTCATTACAGCGAGTGTTGGATCCCCTCTTCAGCCAATCTATCTGCCACTTGGTTATGTTGTCGTCCCACGTGTACTGGAGCAATTTAGTGATTGCCAAAAACACGAGTGAGCAGTGGTCTATGTCAACACACGTCCCATACAGTCTATCAGTTATAATTTTTTAATCTGATTCCAAGATAATTTTCTTGAAACCCATATCCCATGCAAGCCTTAATCCTCAGCTTCACTTGGCGTGCATTTTCCCAGATTCGGTGAAAACCCGGCAATCCAAGTTCCTTTGCTGTGCCTCATAATAGCTCCTCATGACAATTAAAGACCTCATAATAAGATTAATACCAAGTCAATATTTTTATAGATTTCTATTGCTGAAACATGAGCGAAGTGCTGAATTTGTTAACTTTAACTGTGAAGAGATTCTAATTTGATATTAATTTTTTTTTTATGAGATCCTTACCTGTCATTTTTCCTTACTTTTAATCCAGTCCTCTTGTGGGGGCAACCAAATAAACAGAGTTCTCATTACCGGTCCCTGCTCTTACCTGACAGTTACCATCCGTGACAGTTGACACAACCGTTTCCTTATAGGCAAAATAGTCAAGAACGGATTATGAGGCTTGCTGAAATTGGGTTTGAAAATGTACTCATTTATCCATAGCAATAGTTTCCAAACTGTCACTGCCCAAATTAACTTCCAATCTGACTGTCAGCACTAAAATCTTTCTTCAGATTCATGCTAACCCACTCAGCCAGGGAAGCAATGAAGAAAAATGGTTGGTGCCTTCTAGGTACCATCTGAACCCAAATATTCCATGCACAAGGGCAATCTCTTAATACATGCAAAATATCTTCTATGTCAGCTTTACACCAATCACAGAGAGCAGAACAATCAGACCATTTACTCCTCCATAAATTAGTAGGGAGTTAATCATTGTAAATCAGCCATAGACGAAATCTAATTCCCTCAGCACCCTCCCACTTCCAAATGTAATTAAAAACAGGGTCATTCAAAGCACATGGATTCTCCTCTATCATAAAGCAAGCACTTTAACAGAAAAGGAGCCATTAGAGTTACCTCACCAGACCATAATATCTTCACGAGCAGCACTTACTGAAGGCATTACAGAAATCAACCTTTAAATAATATCCTGTGGAAATAACCCACTCGTACGAGAGAAGTCCCAAGTTCCACATACAGCTCATTCCTCAACTTTGCTGCCCCCCTCTTCAGCAGATAGCGGCCTCAAGCATACCTCCTTAAGCTTCACCCCTGGAATCAACCAGTAATCTTCAAAGAAATCAACATTTTGACCAAAAACTCCTTCATTTTAATTATGTTTGTTAGATGTAAGGAGGTAGTATGGAAAGTAGTAGTAGAAAATCAAAGTCTAGGCCAACTGCAAGGGGAAGATAGAAGCCCACAAAATACATCACATATAAATAGTACAATTACATAAACATACAGTACCTTTAGATCAAAGCATATATATAATACATCAGAATACAAGTTGTACAATTATTGATAGTCTACTAAATTTTATTTGGCCAAAAGAACTACCCAATTAACATTCGCAACAATGACCCGGCAAATACAGCTTTAGGCTTGGCCAACACTTCCTTCAGCATCCCAAAAGGCAGTCTTCTTCCCAGTTTTGGATACAGTCCGCAGAACCGTATCTGCGGGCACATTTCCTTTGACAGTCACCTTCTGTTCCTTCAAATCAATGTCATATGTTTCCACGCCTGTAAATAACAACACTTCTCATTATCAAACAAAATTGAAGGAGGAAGCTATGGAGGATACTGCTCTTATCACATTCTTTCACAAAGATGCAGCAACAAACTCACTTTTAAACTTGTATTAACTTCTGTGTTGTTTTAAAAATGATTTTAAGGGGAACCAAAGGCAGGATGAATTAAGATGTTTTGGGATTTAGAAGTTTCTTGATGAAGCTAAGAAGTTCAATAGCAGAACGGAAAAAGAGGAAGCAAAGAAATTCAGATCCCTTGTATTACTTCCGCAAATGTAGAGAGTGCATTTGAAAAAGAAATAGAGAAAAAACAGTGCAAAAGCATAACTATAAATGCACAATCTATATACAACCACATTTTCTTGACTTTCTGTCTCTAAATGCAAAGATGCATAAATGGAGAGAACCTAATTTGGCAGCAAAGTTATTTTCAGCACCTCAAAGTCCAAAGGTATTTGATTGTGTCACCATTGATGAACCAAATGAATCCAAGATAGGACTGTATGAGATTAGTAGGCATACGGAAATAAGAAAAACATATGTAGATATTTACATGCTACAAATACGATTTTTAGAAAATCACTTTCAAGTCCAAGCACAAAGCAGATTTAATGATAGCAAAGGAAGATTTAGAACCAAAAAATACATTCTTCGTGCACTTAAACCAAAATTAGTGAGGTAATTGCTAAGGAAAACAGAAAGTGTATGATGATTATTAAAAATTGCAGTAGGAACTTTACCAATTATTGTGGCTAGAGTAAAACATTGCATCAGCAAATTTCTATACAAAGTTGATATTAGAATCTGATAGCAGAGAGCCAGATACATCATGCATTATGCAAGAGGAAGTTAACCATTGCTGATACTGTGTCTAAGAAAAACAGAAGATAAAAAACTTGAATACAACCATTACAGTCTACCTTCCAGTTTTCCCAAAACTCTTTTCACTGCCCCAACACATCCTTCACATGACATAGCAACTTTGAGGACTGTGGTCTGCATCCATATGGAGAAAATTTTTGGGTTAAAAGGAAAAAAGGAGAAATTGGTCATAGAAACCCCTTATCTCACAATACAGTACATTCATACAGACTTTTAAATTGAATAAATGTGCTGAAACAAATTAAAGAAAGAAAGAAAGAATCAGAAGGGTCCAGGGACAAGAGATTAACCAACCAACATTTAACATGATTACATTACAGAAAAGAACAGTCGCTTTCTCCTTGATTATAACTAATTCAATGGCTAGCATCTAGTGGAAGTGTATCGACGACGAACAGATAAGGCTAAGAACTCAAAGTTCCGCATAATAAACCCCAGGAATTACCATCATGAATTCATGTTCAAAGGCTGTTTGCATCAACTAAAAGCTTTCACATATTAAACAATGAATGCAAACGATCTAAACAAGTACAAAATCCGAATCGAAAACGGGGAGTGCTGAGTTTCCTTCGAAAACCAGATCTTCTTGGCAAACAGATTTTCTAGCGGAAAATCATCCAGTTCAGCATAGACATATTAAACCACGAAAGCAATCAATCAAAACCGCAAGGAAAAAGAATAAAATCTGCATCCAACAAGGAATGACCCAGGATTGAAACAGTCAGATGCAAAGAAATTGACCCAGAAAAACTGCAGATAGAGTTAAGAAATGCAAGGCAGGATTGGAGACGAAGACAAAAATAAAGGGGTCGGGTTCGGGCAAATCACCTGAGACATGGCTATCGTTCTCCGAGGAGGCTGAACAAGAAAAGATTGGAACAAAAGCAATGAGATCACGAAGTTTTGATGGTCGAACTTATACCCAGAAGGCACAAATGTCAACGAAGGCTTGTGCTAGCGTTTTTCGTAATCAAAAGAATGCGGACGCCGATGGTGTGGTCAGGATTGTGGGGCCAGCGTTGATCTCCGGCAGGCTTTAACCGTCATGCCACACGTTGCTGTTGTTGTTTGTTTGTTTGTTTGTTGTTGTTTTTTTTTTTTTTGAGAGAATAACAGAAAAGTTTGTAAAAGAGAATTAGTGACGCTTAGATTAGATGTACCTAATATATTTTTGAAAAAATTGTCCAAAACTACCTTACCAGCAATTTATTTGCTAATAAAGACTTGGAACATTTTTTAAAACTTGATCCTTCTTTGACATTAACTTTCATGGACAAAATGATCACTTTGCTGTAACATTTGGAACCCCCCCCCCAAAAAAAAAAGAACCTTTTGCACACAATCGATTGCCTGTCCATGGAAGGTCATTGCATCTAGGTAGAAGATGGCGAACGCGGCATCATTAAGGGTGGTCGTTGCTGATGAAGTTGAGGAGTATTCAAGCGAGTGTCGTTGTGCATTATCAGCAATGTTGGAGGACCATTTTAGGGTGTTGCAATAGAAGTTGGTGATTTTGCTAAATTTGCCCCATTTACTTGAATAACTCCATTGTTGTTTGAATTCTTCCATTTGTTCTCCCACTGTAATATTCTATTGAAGTAAAAATGGTGAAGAAGAAAAAATTAAAGAAAAGGAAGTCTAAGGTTGTGATCGATTTGCACAAGTTTAAGCAAAAATTTTAGGCTGGCAAGAAAGGTAAAAGAATGTTTAAGGGAATAGTAAAGGTAGACAAATATGCAAGGGAAGCGTTGTGCAAGTCTAGAAGCAAGGGGCATCCACATATGCATGAGATCTTCCATGATATGCATTTACCCTTCAATTACATGCAAGCAGACATCTATTTATTCGAATAACATAACTCGATATTCTAAAAACATGAAACCCAGATGCATCTTGCAAGACCAAAAGCCGAGGGCACCCTCATATGCATGAGATCTTTCATGATATATGCATTCACCCTTCCATTATATGCAAGAAGACATTCATTTATTCAAATAACATAACTCCATTATAAGCATTTACCCTTCTATTATATGTAAGGAGATATTGTTGAAGACTAGCTACATAAGGTGGAAGACCACATACATATGGTAGAATCCCTATGCGTCAAGTGTCCTAGAACGCATCCAAGTGTATTGTTATTCGAATAACATAAAATTTTATTTGAATAACATTGATGCCTCCTACGTATTATTAAGACTAGCTGCATACAGTGAAAGACCACATGTATATGGTGGAAGCCCCATACATTAGGTGTCTAAGAACGCATCCAAGTGTCTTGTTATTTGAATACCACAACATGTTATTCAAATAAAGTAGAACATAACACACATATTTGAATATTAGAACTTACTATTCAAAAAAACACTAGTCACTAACTGATATAAAGACTTTAAGTTACGAATTTTTAAAATATCGATTTATCGTGTTCAAATAAAAGTTGTTCACTCAGCCTCTGTAACTTTAGTTTTCAAAATATTGGTTTATCATACTCGAATAAAAGTGGTTAACTCAGCCTCTATGACTTTAGTTTTTAAAATATCAATTTATCACATTCGAAGGTTCAATCAGCCTCTATGACTTCAGTTTTCAAAATATCAATTTACATATTTGGATAAAAATGGTTCACTCAGCCTCTGTGACTTAATTTTTCAAGATATCCGTATGCATTATTCGAATAATACAAGAGCCATTAGGAAATCACAGCCTTTGTGACCATCATTATTCGAATAAATGAAGTGGAATGTATATGTTTTCAGGATCCAGGAAAATAATATTTAGTTAACCATTTGCAAATTTTGTTTACAACAATAAGATAATATCATTTCATTAATATGATCAAAGTACATTCACTAATTTCAAAATTTACAACCATTTACAAAAATAATATATATATCATATAAACACACCCATTGCCAAAAAATAACATGGGTGTTCATGTACAACATCATATACAATATATACAAAATGTCATCTCCTACTTCCCTATTATCTAAAAAAATTGATAGGGGCAGAACTATGTACAATAACACAAAAATAACATTAATAGAATAGACCATCAGGTGCACCAAGACCCAAGAGAAGATCTAATATACTAGAAGAATGCAAGGCCATTCAAGATTAGGATTCCTACACCTTCTTCAAGTATGCCCATCTTGGTGGTACCTTGAACATTTATACACTTTCTTGTCTCGATATTATAACTCTCTTCTAATTGTGTGTAGTCTTTCAAGATGATAGCTTGTTATTGGGGGTCATTAGAAGGTCTCATTGTCATAATCATTCCACTCCAAGTCACTTAGCTTTGGCATGTCATGAGTATCAATTGGCATCATAGTTTTATTATATATTTTCTCTTGTCAACTAGCTTTATAATACTCATCAACATATGTGTACACATTATCTCTAACATATTTGATAACTATATATGCATATGGCCATGGTATACTAGACATTTACCATATTTGCAAGCGCACTCCCTGGTTGCAAGATTGATAGACACATGAACTTCTCTAAATACAATCTCAAATATATGGTCTAAATATTATGCAACCATGATCCTATCTGCATGCAATACATACTCCTTTAATTTAACTTCTATGTTAGGACCTACTCCATTACTCTATAGCTTAATTTCTTCCTTTCTAGCAAACATTTTTTTAGTAAGCTTCTCGTTGTGCTCATTTAATAATGTAATCACTTGATGTTTTCTCTCATTCACAACCCATGCATTATAGCACTCAGCAAGATTTGAGGTTATATTGTCCCACCTCTTGAATGAAAACCTTGACAATGCCCAACAATAAATATCACTATGATCTTCAATCCACTTGCCTAGATAAGAGCAAAAGGAATGCATACTTGCCATTGCTTTATGAAACTCACCATCAAATCTAGCATATGCAGTTGCATCCGTTAGTTTTAATGCATCCTCCTTCCTCATACCAGTATTAGGTCTAGCACTTTGAAAAACTTTCATGCTTTGTAAACTTTCATACTCTATACTAAAGTTCTCTTTAATGTTCCTATATCAATAAGCATACCTCTCACCCTTAAAGATAGCTATCACATCATGTATTATTGCATTATACCTATCCGATAATATTGTAACTTTCAAATTGCTTACAATGTCTTTAATGTTTTGCATAAACTAAGTCCATTTCTCATTGATCACGCCACACACAATAGCATATGCAATATAGAAAAGCTCATCATCAGCATCATGTGTAAAAGCAACCAACATAGTACCTCAATGTGGTCCACTTAAGTGACATCCACCAATATGCAATATAGGCCAAAAACTATTGAAGAACCCTTCTATACAACATCCATGTGATATGAACAACTTTTGAAATTTATAGTCTGTTAATGCTGCCCATTTAGCCACAGTGTTTAGGTTGACGTCCATTAGTCTTTGGCAAAACTAAGGAATCAACATATAAGATTGGAAGGAGATCCTTACATATTTGCCAATAATTGCTCTTTTCCTTTCTATGCTTGGTTATAAGACAATGAAAGACCATAGTTCCTATCCAATGAACACCTTAAATCGTCTTTGATGATAGATAAAGCCAATGCAGAGGTAGAGTTCTGATGATCTATAAGATTATCCTTGGCCAAATGAATATGCTCATTCTTAAAGGAATGCACACGTAAGAAAATTGAATCACGGCTTAATGCATAAACAATTATCTTTCATGGATACTCATTAATTATGTACTTTACTATCATACTTCTTTCATTATTTTTCACATATTTGTACACAAACTTGTACGCTAAATTATACTTGTACAATGATTCCTTAAATACACCTATATTGTTGAATATTTGCCCAGGGCCTAAAAGCAAGTCCTTCCACTTAGCTACACCATGCTCAAGAAAAGGAATATGTGCACTTTGAATTAAACATGGAAACTCTTCACTTCCCCTACTTGATATAGATCCAAGAATAGATAATCTAAATGACACTTCTATACAATCTAACCCTTGACAAATCGACATAGGTTCAACTTTATTTCTATACTCATTTACACATTCAACTATATAAATATGCGTGGATTTTCATTAAATTCAACTAGTTTTGAACTCCTTCATCATTTTTTAATTTTACCAGAGTAGTCTCATCTAATTCTCATAATATGCACTTCAATTCTAATCCTTTAAGTTCACACCAAAAAACATGAAACATATTTTACTTCTTAACTCATTAATTGACATTAAAATACTTACTATTCTTCCATTTTCTCTACCACCAACATGTTACACCCCCTTTATTAATAACAATCCTTCCCCTTATATGAAAGTAAAGAATATTTCTTTCCATTCTTCACTCTTAAGACTCAAAAGGATGTTATACAAATATGTAATTTTCAAAGGTCAAAGGAAAAAAACATTCGTTAGTGAAAAATTATAACATCATTCTATCAAATTCTACATTAGATGTCACTACCGTGTGCTATGTGAGGAAATACACTTAGGGGAGGAGCAAGTAGCAAAAAAAATACTTTGTTCAACCTCTTTCAAACTCCTCAAGCAAAAATCTGAAACTCAAAATGAAATTTGACCATCATCAAACAAATATTGAAAAACAAAAAATAGCTAACCTAACAAAGTTGAAATGCAACAAACATACCTAACAAAGTTGTCAATTTGATCGTCGGATTTGAAGTTTTATCAGACATAATCAAATATTGAGTTACAGAGCATCGCGCGCTTTAGAGAAGCTTCACATGTGAGTTGCTTTTTTCAAATGCTATAAGGGCAAAATGGTCATTACATGCATGGGAATTAAAGCTAAAGAAGGACCAAGTTTCAAAAATGTCCCAGTCCTTATTAGCAAATAAATTGCTTGTGAGGTAATTTTTAGGCAATTCTCCCTATATTTTTTTAAAATGAGTTGTAAATATAAATTTATATATTGTATACAAAAATTTCAATAGTAAATCATGAGTTATATTTAAAATTTAAATGTATTATTTGTAATTGAAACTCCTTAATTTATAATTATTTAGATTATTATTTA